TTAACTTATGTGCTCCTACCAACCATATCAAGTAAGCATTACCATCATCTTCATTTTATTTTATTTTTATTTATATAAATTTAATGAGTACAAGTAGAATTGTGTTATATGGATATATTGTGTAGTGTTGAATTCTGGGCCTTTGGAGTAACTATCACCTGAATAATGCAATTGTATTCATCAAGAAAATTTTCATTTGTCACCTGCTCCCACCTTTCTGCCCTTCTGAGTCTGCAATGTCTATTATTTCACACTTCTTGTTCACATATACACATTATTTCACTTCCTCTTATAAGTAAGAACATGGGGTATTTGACTTTCTGAGTTATTTTGCTAAAGACAACAGCCTCAATTTTCATCCATGTTGTTGAAAAGACATGATACATGATTTTATTCTTTTTTATGTTAGAGTGGTATTCCATGGTGTGTGTATATATGTGTGTACATATGTGTGTGTACATATGTGTGTGTGTATATATGTATATATGTGTGTGTGAATATATATACGTGTATATATATATATATGTGTATATATATATATATATATATCTCACATTTTCTTTATCCCATTCTCTATTGATGGAAGCTTACTTTGAGCCCATATCTTGGGCATTATGAATAGTGCTGTGATAAAAATACAAGTGCAGGTATATTTTTCATACAAACACTTTTTTCCCTTTCAGTAGATAGCTAGTAGTGGGATTGCTGGATTGAATGGTAGTTCTATTTTTAGTTATTTGAGAAATCTCCACATTGTTTTCCATGAAGCTTGTACTAATTTACATTCCCAACAACAGTGTATAAGTTCTTCTTTCTCTGCAGCGTCACCCAAATCTGTCATTTTTTTTTTTTTTACTTTTTAACAATAGCAATTCTTCCTGGTGTAAAATGATATCTCACTGTGATTTTAATTAGCATTTCTATGATGATTAATGATGTTGAATATTTTTTATGTGCTTGTGGACCATTTCTATGTCTTTTGAAAAATATCCAGGCACGGTGGCTCATGCCTGTAATCCCAGCACTTTGGGAGGCTGGGGTGGGTGGATCACTTGAGGTCAGGAGTTCAAGACCAGCCTGGCCAACATGGTGAAATGCTGTCTCTACTAAAAATATAAAAATTAGCTGGGTGTGCTGGCACCTGCCTGTAGTCCCAGCTACTCAGGAGACTGAGGCAGGAGAATCGCTTAAACCCGGGAGGCATAGGTTGCAGTGAGCTGAGACGGTGACTGGACTCCAACCTGAGCAACAGAGCAAGACTCAATCTCAAGAAAACAAAAACAAAGAAACAAACAAGAAAACAGTGTTCAGGATCCAAATCCTGATTCTGCCTAAAGTGTCCTGGAACATGGGCAAATGTCTTAATGTCATTAAGCCGTACTTTCTTCATTAGTAAAACAGTAATAATAACAATACTACCTGTCATGGAGTTGTCAGGATCAAATGAGTTAAGGTATGTAAAACACAAAGAACAGTGCAACTGTAGTAGGATGCTATATAAATGAGAACAGTTCTTTTTGTAATTCTGCTTACCATGCTCACATCTTAGCTGCCAATAAATAAACTTGTATCAGTCAACACTAGGCAATGAGTAACACCCAGAAGTCAGGATAGTTAGAATTTATTTGTACTGGATATTGTGGCTTGTGGCATTAGCAAAAGACTAAAAGCACCACTGATAGCAGTGACCAAAGGTACTAGTGCAAAAGGATAGAAGTGGTAAATGTGCTGGAAGAATTTTCTTAACCAAACTGTTCCAGTGGTTTGATCTTGCCTCTGGTTTCCGTACTCTCACTTCCTGTAACTAATTACTTTGTTTAATTATCCAATTTTCTGCTCGGTTCTGGGAGTACACCATTATTCTTCCAATAAATTCTTTTTTAAGTTAGCCAGAGTTTATTTCTGTTGTATACATCCAAGACTGTCACCTCACTCCGCATACCACCCACATTCATGATAGGCAGGGATAGTGATGGTGGAGAGAAACTTATCAGGTTCCACTGCCACTTCTGCTTTATGTTATGAGATGCCTTGTCACATCCCTTAACCTCCCAAACAGGCCATGACTAGACTCCTTGACACCACGTACCAAACATCAAAGAGATAGCATTGTAATGCCATGTCTTAAACGTGGGGGAAAGGAGACATCCTTCTTTGTCTCTGCTTATTCACGTTATCTTGACTTGCTTATGCACTGGCCATGATGTTATATCAACTATGCTCACTACAAGAATTTCAACTCAATTAGCTGGGAAAGAAAATAAAAAGAAAAGCCATGAAAGAGGAGCATATTTGGCTTTGTTCTCAAGCTTCCTTATGAAATACCGATTCATAATAGTAGTTTATTATAGTAGAAAATGACAAAATAAAAAAAGCTCCAGTATATCAGTGGCTTATTTCAAGTAGACTAATTTTATGCCTTCATATTTAAAGTAAATTTCTTGTAGACAGCATGCAGTGGGTCTTTTTTTAAAAAAAATTATCTAACACTCTTTCAATTTGCTAAGTTTACACTGTATTTAATGTACTCATTGACACAATGAATTAAAATCTACCATCAGGCCAGGCACAGTGGCTCACACCTATAATCCCAGCACTTTGGGAGGCCGAGGCAGGAAAATCACTTGAGGCCAGGAGTTCAAGACCAGCCTGACCACCATGGTGAAACCCCGTCTCTACTAACAA